GTGTATTAACATGTAAACATGAGGACACCTAGATTTAAGAAGAATAAACGTCTTGTTAGGCTAAAATTGTCTCATGGTTGCAGGGCCTCAAGAAATCAATTTGTTTTATGACCAAAGAAAACTGCATTATTCATTTATACTACACCACTATGTTTACAAGGACCTTCAGATCACACACATGGTATTCTGGACAAGGCCAGCATTCTATGGCACAATATACAGACTTTCTTTCTCTCTATTGTACTGATTTGCAGGACAAACAAGCCTTGCATATACAGCTGTTATTGTTCCACAGATTGGAGGACATTGTGAGAGAACTTGTTAACAAAAAGTCAACTTGTGAGAAACCGTCTGAAAAGAAATTACACAGTTCAAGAGTTATCATCTAAAACTTGATATAGTTGGTACATTGTAGTAAAAGACTAAAAGAAATTTAAAGTGTAACTCCACTTTTGTTGAAAAAAAAAAATCATTACCCTCTGGATGTTCTATGTACATTGCAAGGATTTTAACAAACCTTGGTGCAGAGTCCTACCTTTTGTTATTCCAAAGAAATGGCTGTTTGTCTGTGTCCATGTGCAAAGTGAACCTGTATGGGAGTGGTTTCATAATTATCAGTCAGTTGCTGCACCTGCTGGAAAATTGCAAGGCCTGCATCCCTTTAGGCTCCATGCACACTGAGCGTTTTAATAACGCTGGTAACGTTAGCTGTGTAAAGTCGCATTAAAAACGTGAGTTTTAAAATGCCCCTGCCAAAAAACGTTGATTACAGTCTATGTGTGCATGGACATATAGGATAACATGCCGGGCAGTTTAATGGTGAAAAAAACTGTCAAAAGCCACAAAAAACAGCTGTATAAATGTCTAGTGTGCATGAGGACTTAAGACTTGTTTTGCCTTTGAGTGTATTGCGCCAAAAATGACATTTGTGTTGCAGAGGATGCTGAAAATCTGACTTGTATCTTACTGCAAACTTCTGGGAAAATCTGTGAGCCAGTCACACAAGCAGGAAAGGATATATTTTGGGAAGGGTGGGTGTTCTGTACACCATCTTGGACAGAACACCTCCAGTTAGCCATATTGCATTGCGATATACTGAAAATAACAACGCTACAGAATGAAAAGGAACAGTCATCTTTAATATTATTCAATTACAATATGACTTATGTTGCATTTCTATACACTGTTATTTTTTATTTCCCTTTTTTTTCACACAAAAGTGGAGTTACCCTTTAATTATCAAGATGCTTGTCCATCCAGATGTACATATATCCAGGATGAAATATCATATTATCTAGTGGTGCACCAAAGCAAGTTTTCGGTGGCCATTATCGGCTCCTTTTTTCCTATCGGCTAAATGCTAATAATCCTATTTTTGGCTGATACATTTCAGCCACCGGTATATCAGTGCATCCCTAATATTATCTGAGAAGGACTAAAAGGGAAGTTATAATCTCAGTATATATTTGGTGTGTGGTATTCTTTATCATTATTGTGTGTGTTTATAATGTAGCCATATTCAAATAGTTTTAAGTATGCAAAATATTATATTTTTTTCTTTTCTGCTGTGTATATCTAATATTGTAATCATTTATGTATGAAATTCCACCTCTTTTAAAATAAATTCCACCACAAATGAGGAAGCTGCCAGACTCTAATAAGCATTTTATTTCTTCAAGCCAACCAACATAGCTGAATCCTTTAAAAAAAAAAAAAAAAAAAAAAAAGATTAATTTATCATAGAAAAAATTAGTTACTATAGGATGAGGTGTTCGGTATTTTGGCAGAGTTGGTAAAGTTGGAAAAAGATCGGCCGATTTTGCCGATCGGCTGATTTTCGCTGCAATTATGGCCAAATCGGCCAATCTTTTTACCGATAAAAAATCTGCGCATGAGCAGTGACCTGCAAGAGGGAGACAAAAAGAAGAAGAAAAGGATAAAGAAGAGGAAGAAGAGGAGGAGGATGAAGAAGAGGAGGATGATGATGAAGAGGAGGAAGAGGATGAAGAAGAGGAGGATGATGAAGAGGATGAAGAAGAAGAATTCCAGTCCGGCAAAAAGTGTCCCTGCAGAGAGCTCCGCTATTTCTTTGACAGTTCTTTGACATTTATAGCGACTGCAACAATGTATCTATTTGTTTCCGAATAAAAACATCTGTATCCGAAATGGATACAAATAGAAACATTGTTGCAATCACTATAAATGTCAAAGCACTGTCAAAGAAATAGAGGCACTCTCTGCAGGGACACTTTTTGCCGGCTGCCGGCTTTTTAGACGGGATGAAAATCGACCGGTTTTTTTTTTACCTTTCCCGGTAACGTCGGCCACTTGAACGACCGATTTTTTGTTTTTTTAAAGAAAAATCGGCCGGTTTTCTCCCCATCTATGGCCTGCATTAGTCAAACGCAGATTATCTGCCAAATTTTATAAAAACAAGTTAGGATATCTACAAGAGGGGAAATTCATTACTGAATTCAATCTATATATATACTCTACAGTAAAAAAAAACAATTTTAGAACTTGTACACACATTTGAAATGTAGCTTCAATTTGCCAACAAAAAAAATCCCCATTTGTACATTGCAAGGATTTTAACAACTGTTACTGCAGATTCCTACTCTTTTCTGATTTACAGAAATTGTTATTTGTCCCATCATGTCCTTTTGATATTGACTCTTAAATAGGAGGGTTTGCACTCATAATAATCATTTGGTGCATTCTTAATGCTCTAATGAGGTAAGCTTCGGTGTCTACATCTCCTTGGTAGTCAAACCTTATGCTAGTCACACACAGTTTGAATTTTATCCGATCCTTGCTGAATGGGATAAAATGTGAGCTGTGGATGGTCCTGTCAGAATCAGCTGGACCAACAAACGTAAACCTGAGAATTGAAGCAGCTGGTCAAAAAATTCTAAGACGAACAATGACTCCAACTAATTAGTTGAGTATTCTGACAGCCATAGGAGCAGCAACTGTCAGAATACCATACCTGGCAGAGGAGATTTCTCCATCCACACTGTTTAGCATGGATGGGTGAATCTATTGATTTATTTGGCTTAGTCCATGGGGCAAATAACAAGAAACTTGACAGTGGTTTTTAACCACTTCCCGAGCACCCTATAGTAGAAGTACTGCTACAGTGTGGCAGGGCTGCACAAAATTACATGTATATATACATGATTTTGTATTTCCGGGTAGGGGTCATGCACGCCACCTTACCCATGCCGGCATTGGTGGCTAAAGCTGTCGATCACCGGGTCTCGGACGGAGATTCCCCGCGATCGCCGAGGAACATTGACAGAGGAGAGGTCTGTATGTAAACAGTACAGATCTCTTCCCTGTTCAGCACCAGCATGCTGCTTTGTATTGCTCTGCATAGCAGAGCATTACAAAGCAGCATGCTTACACAGACAAAATAGTAAAACAGCACACAGTTAACCCTTTGGTCGCCCCAGATGTTAACCCCTTCCTGCCCAGTGTCAGTATAGTGTCAGTGCTTTTTATTAGCACTGATCACTGTATTAGTGTCAGTAGCAGTTAGTCAGTTCCCTCCCAGTGTCAGAATGCCCGTTGCAGTCCCACTATAAGTCGCTGTTCGCCGCCATTACTAGTATAAAAAAAAAATTCCAGTATATAGTGCCATTTGTAGATGCTATAACTTTCATCTAAACCAATTAGTTTACACGTATTGAGATTTTTTTTTTTTTAGCAAAGACATGTAGCAGAATACATTTTGGCCTAAATTTATGTCGAAATTTAGATTTTTTTTTTTTTTTTTTTTAATTTTACTGGATATGTTTTATAGCAAAAAGTCAAAAATATTGTTTTCTTTTTTTTTTCAAAATTGTCAGTCTTCTTTTGTTTATAGGTCAAAAAATTAAAACCGCAGAGGCAATCAATTGCCACCGAAAGAAAGGGGGCGAAAAAGGACATAAATTTAATTTGGCTGCAGTGTTGCATGACTGTGCAATTGTCAGTTCAAGTAACACAGCGCCGTATCGAAAAAAAAAAAATGGCCTGTTCAGGAAGGGTAGTAAATCCTCTGGAGGGCAAGTTGTTAAAAGCGTATCTTAGGCCTGGGTCACCCCAATGCCTTTTTAGTGTTTTTTTTGCAGAAACTCACTACAGTCCATTTAACATGGTTTCCTATGGGGCACGGTCACATCTGTGTTTTTGAGCTGCTGCGTTTTTGGAAAGTCTCAAGGACTTTTTTAAAAGGAAAACATTGTGTTTTTGGTTCAATAGACTTCAATGGAGACGTTGCTGAAAATGCATGTAGTGCTTTTTTTGTGCATTTGGCCTTTTTAGTCTGTCTAGCAACAAGTTGCCCCCCCCCCCCAAAAAAAAACATGAATACAAATGCATCAAAAAATGTGTTCCAAAAAGCACCGCAGAAGAGAACAAAACACAAACTGCATTGGTGTGAACCAGGCCTTAGACGGTCATAGTGCCTCAAAAGTAAAGATGGGGTTCACCAGTCTGTAGAAAGCTACCTGTAAAAATTGGCAGACAATTTCAGAGTATTGTTCCTCAACATAAAATTGCAAAGACTTTAAATGTATCATAATCTAGAATACATAATAACAAAAGATTCCGGGAATCTGGAGAAATTTCTGTGCACAAGGGACAATGCTGAAACACAATATTTGATGTCTGTGATCTCTTGGCCCTCAGAAGGCAATGCATTAAAAACATGGATGATTCTGTGATGGACATTACTGCCTGGGTTAAGGCAGGCTTGACAAATTTGAATCCAGGATCGTGATCGTGGTGATGATCATGGTGTCGGTACTGCTTTGCTACAAAACTGAAGTATGTGGGTATTTGGAGGGGTTATTCTGCGTTGATCTACAGTGTTTTTTTTTTTTGTTAGTCAGTGTTCAGTTCTCAGGCAATCGTGTAGCCCGAAAGTTATAGGCTTGCTAAGTCCTGCAATGGACTCCAAAAAAAAGGATTTTGTGATGAGTACAAAAATCATAAATATTTTTTATTCATTTCAGAGTGACGCCAGAGATGAAAAAATCACTGAAAATCAATATCATGAAAACCATTTTCTAATGGTACAGGCACTTGAAGCAAGATTACAGGTTAGATCATAAGTACATTTTTATTTATGAAATGTAAAAACATGTGAAGTGCAAGTACACTTTGTTCCATATATATTTATATTATTTGTATGGTTTAGTACTTAAAGCTTCTTGAGATGTCCCTTGGGTAGGTTTTTACTAAAAGCTGTCTTACAAACAGATTTGTTATCCTGTTACAATGAGTTTAGGGTAATTTCAACCGCTTTTGTGTGTACTGATAAAACATGGGAACTAGCAAAATTTGAAAAAAGAAGAGGATAGAAAGTGAGTCATGCACAGCAGATATGTTATACACATACAAAATGTAAAAGTGGACTTTAACTTTAAATTGTGGCTATTAACATAGTCTTGCTTTATTTTCTTTGACCTTTTTTTCTTTTTCCATAGCCCATTTGAGCAGTATTTTCTCCAGATAATATGTAATGTCTTTAGTTTATTGTGATAGAGCAAGGCTTGGGTTGGTATATGACATATATTGTCTTGCAGTTATGGAGCTCTGTAAATTTCAGCATTGTGTCTTACGATGTCTACAAACTGCTATACTTTTAGGCTGGCTTACTATCACTTGAGGAAATGGAAAACCATCTTCAGGTTCAAGAAAGAGTTCTCCAGTCATCATGTGAGGCATTCATAAACATGTCCCTGGACAAGGAGACAACTGTACACTCTGCAGAAGAGGTAAATTAACAATTACAATGACTTAAAGAGAATATTAACACAAAATAAAATGCAGTAAATGTCCGCAAGGCTCCGTTCCATTATTGATGCGTTTTTACCATGATTTGCGTTTTTGTTCAGCTTTTTTTTTTTTTCTTTAAAGTGGAATATTTTTTTTGCTGGGCAGAATAAAAATGCAAAAGCAGAAAAAAACGCACTACCATGCATTTCAGCAGATATTCTATTGAACAATATTGTAGCAAAAACACAGCAGATCAAAAAAAGTATAGAACTGAACGTGTTCCATAGGAAACTATGTTAAAGGGACTGTAGGGCGTTTTTGCAAAAAGCACTATAAAACACATTGGTGTGAACAGAGCCTTATACATGCACATTTCTCATGGTGTATCCTTTTATAGCACCAACAGTTTGTCCAGGGCTTTACAATATAAAGGGGGACAATACAGCAACGATACAGTTCAATACAAGAGGGTTAGGGGGCCCTGCTCCTGACAATAGGCATGATTATGTAGTTTAGCAAAAAACACTGAGCAGGGTTGACACCACTCAGTCCACATAAAAAATGTTGTGTGTTGTCAGCCAACAACAGGGATTAAGAACTCTGTACATTTCTGGCTGATAAACAGGTATTTTGTTCACTTATCAAACCGGTATAACAAAATTTTTCCAATGGTATTTAAAACAGATCAAAAGCTAGCAAATAAGAGAAGGTCATTCTTAGGGTTTACGTACTTTCACTTTAAAACTGAATTCCATCCAAAAAAAACTTAGCAGTTGGGCTGATGTTCTGATCCTGCCCACATAAGACTGGTCCCTTATGCTCCTAACCCCCCCACGGTCTAGTGGTCTTGAACAGTGGACTGTTACTGATGACATCAAGCCCAGAACAGGCTCCATAGACCTGCTCTGAACATGAGGTCACCAGGAACAGTCCACTGCTGGATCGTGGGGGAGTGCAGCTTGAAGGTAGAGTGGAGGATCTGGTGAATATAAGGCTTTCTCCTCTCCCCTAAACAAAATGAGCACTTAACTCTTGCAATGCGGGCACAGCCCCACTGCAAGGGAAAACTTTTTTTGCTCAGTGTTGGGCTTTAAATATCCATTTGAAAGTCTAATCTATGTAAACAATAATCACCTTTAACCACTTGCCCTCCAGAGGTTTTACTGCCCTTCCTGACCAGGCCATTTTTTGCGATACGGCGCTGCGTTACTTTAACTGAAAATTGCGCGGTCATGCAATGCTGCACCTAAATGTAATTTGTGTCCTTTTTTTTCCCACAAATAGAGCTTTCTTTTGGTGGTATTTGATCGCTTCAGCATTTTAATTTTTTTTGCACTATAAACAAAAAAGACTGGCAGTTTTAAGAAAAAAAAACAATATTTTTGACTAAATGCAATAAATTCTACATGCTGACTCCCTATAAAAATGCTGCAAGTACAGAAACATACCAGCTGATTCTGACTGAAATCCAGTGAGTTGCCTACTTTCAGTCGTTGGCTGGCAACACTGCCTCAGCTGTACAGAAATATTATGCTGTATTGTCAGGCCTGCCAGAGTTCTTCCTGCTGGATTACAGAGCTCTGCCTCCCTTCCCTCTCTCTCCCTCCCTTCCCTCTCTCTCCCTCTCTCTTCCCTATCTCTTTCCTCTCTGTTACCTATCTCTTTCCTCTCTCTTCCCTCTATCTTTTCTCTCTCTCATAGATCGTTTGGGACTGTATACACACACAGTTTAATTCCCCCCCCCCCTCCTCCAAAGGCTGCTGATCTCTGGGCAGCAGGAAATGTGGGCAGGAGGTGGTAATCACACTGTGTGTGTACAGTCCCATATGATTTATCAGTGTCTCATGTGCTGTATGGACGACAGGAGGGAGAGCCCAGAGAACACAACACAGCTCACCTCCTTCTGGCTCTTTCCTCTCTGACACATCTCCTCTCCCTGCTTCAGGCTGTCCCCTGGTCCCAGCTCTGAGTGCGGGCAGGGGAAGGAGCTCAGCGGAGAGAGGCCACTCAGGAACACAAGGGCACCCCCTCGATTCAGCCAGGTCTGTCTCTCCCTCTAGCAGCAGAAAGCCGACAGGAGGGAGAGGGGTAGAAACCTTAAACCGGCTTTCAGCTGCTGGAGGGAGAGATACATAGGGCATCCTTTTGCAAATGCTCTCCCACACCGATCCTCCTGCTGTCCGGGCCACCTACAGCAGTACCGGTGGTACCCCTCAGATGGCAGCCCTGCATGGCTCTGTCTGCTGCTGCTCACCAGGTCCCTTCTTCCGGGGGGCGGAGCCGCCCCCTTAAAAATTGCCGCCCCCTTAAAAATTGCCGCCCTAGGCAATTCCTTGTTTGCCATGCGGTAGATACTCCCCTGGTTTTCAGTTCTTGGGCTTCATGATGATATGCAACCTTTGTTTTGTGGACAGTAATGAGCTAAGCTGCAACCCATCGATAAGTAAAGGGCTTTTTAAGGGAACACAGATTCCCACTGCAGCATCTGTTTTAACTATAACAAAGTTTTAACTAGGGAACAATTTATCATCAACTGGATCTTCTTTCAACATGGAGAGCTAGCACATGTTGAGGAGCTGTAGTTGTATGCATCCAAATTTTAGCTGCACATTTAAATATCATAGGCATAGTTTTCTAGATTAGGAAAATCCCAAACCCAAGTGATGACAAATAATTGATACTGTAGTTTTGTTTAATTTTGGTAGAAATCCAAAGTCATTTTGAACATACACAGAAAATCATATGTTTTGTGCTTTCCCCTTTTAAGGAAAATTTGGTTTCCCTGTGGAATGATACAGAAAAAAGCTATTACCCTTCTGCAGTAAAGCATTCTCCTTCTGTAGATCCAGATAATGTGATTGAGAAAGTTTGGCATCGGGTGGTTGATGACTTTCTGGTGATTGGTGTAAAAGTGAAAGATTGTGCCCACTTGTAAGTAATGTTGCCAAAGTATTAGAGCATCTTTTTTTATCTGCTAATGTATTATTAATGATTGATTGCATAGCTTACATATTTCTAATAATGAGGCTGGATATTAAAGAAAACATGTCATAGAAGCATATCTAAGCCCAAAAGTAAAATTGTAATACATTTCAGCTTGCCAGTCCTTAGATTAGGTGATTGTATTAGTTTCGGGTTTTTTCCAGGGTTTTTTCTTTTAACCACTTGCCAACCTGTCACAGTAAATATGCTGCAGCAGGGTGGCACATTCAGCCACAATCACATGTACATGATGCTGCGCGTCCCTCCTATGTACCGGTAATCGGTAACTGGGTATCGTGTGATTGGTCATACAGATCACATGATAACAATGTAAATAACTTGTCGTGAAGGGCTATCCATTCATGAACAGCTTGCTTACTGTGATCTGTGATTAGCCCATAGCAATCACATGGTACCTGGCTACCTGTACCATATGATTAGCTGTAGCCAATCACAATCACAACCAAAAGCAAGCTGTTTATGAATGTTAACCCATTCAAGACAGCTAAAACTATTGCTTCACTGATCTTCACTGTATAGGCAAAATCAGTGTAAAAAAAAAAAAAATCCCTGATTACCCCCTAGAGTAGTACAGTGTTACTATGGTGACACTGAGCTACTCTGATGACAGGATGTAAAAAAATTTAAAAAAAAAGCCTTAAAATTGTGTGTGCCTGTGGAATGGCGTCAAACTTTGGTACTCAAAATTCTCCATAGGTGATGCTTTAATAGGAAAAGGTGTATGCCAGACAGGTAGATAGCTGAGATAAAAGAAGAATAGGTAGGTGAGCGAAGTATTGTGAGGAAAATAGAATACCATGGTGGGTAGTAGGGAGGCCAAACATGCGGCCGAATTTCAGACCCAGGTCGGGGCCTGAACGGATGTGTGTGTCCAGAGCTGTACCCAGAAGAAAGAATCAACTGTGACAGTAGGTCACAATTGATTCAGGGGTTCTCAAGGGGGGGGGGATGGGGGGGAGGCAGGGGGAGAAGGGTAAATGGGGATGGTCTTCCTGCTTTGGATTGTGCTTATCTGTACCCTAGTAAAGATAATATAGAGGAGAATAGACAAAATGAGAGGAATGAATACGGTTAATTTATGACATACAATATAAAAGAATTGAACACTCCAACAAAAAGGTATAAGGTATTAAGAGAAATACATCAACGCTCTTTTGAAGTGGTGTTTCTCCAGGAGACATATATCCCAAGATTCAAATGTTAAATTATAATCTAAGTATCTGCCAATCTGGTACTATGTGGACTCTCCAATAAGACAGGCAAAGGGAGTGGTGATAGGATTTGGGAAAATTATAAAATTCACTTTGGAGGAAAGTTTAGTAGATCAAGATGGCCGATACTTATTCTTGAGAGGAAACCTGCAGGGAAGGGAGTATATGTTAGCAAACATTTACTGCCCTAATAAAAATCCGACTATATATGGAAGGAATATTGATAAAACTTACAGACTTTAAAAGGGGTAGTCTGATTGTGGCAGGAGATTACAATTTTTGCATGGACTCGGATATGGATGCCTCATCATGTGCATGGAGAGAGGGAGATAAGAGTCTAAAGAATGTAAAAAAAAAAAAGTTGCATCAATGCCAGTTAATGGATGCTTGGAGAGTCTGGCATCCGAAAAAGAGACTATACCTTCTCTGAGGCACATAGGATGTATTTACGATTCGATTACATATTGATTGAACATAGACTCCTGGAGTCTCTAGTGAAAAATCAATATAGAAGTAATATCTATATCAGACCATGCCCCTGTCACAATGAGACTACGATTCGGAAGGGAACAAAATGAATATGTGGCGATTAAATGAGATGATTCTACAAGACCCGAAAACGGAAACAAGAGTAAACAGGAAATTGAACAATATTTTAAGTTTAACGAGCCTGGGGAGGTTACAATCGCCACAGTATGGGAAGCACACAAGGCCTATATTAGGGGTATACTGATTGTGAGTATAAACGGAAAGAATGGGGTAAAAAAATTAGATCATTAACGGAAGAACTA